CACAAGGTCCCTAGTTCAATCCTCAGTACCCACCCCCGCAAAAAGAGTATCTACTTAGAAATAACCAAAATAAAATAAGTCAGATTCCCTCAACTGTGCGGGGGGAAAAAAGAAGAAACCAAGCAGGGTAAGTGGCCTACAGAGGGGTGGTTCTGTCACCTTTCAGAAGAAGTCACAGGAAGAAGCCAGGCTGCAGCAGAGACCCCGTCCTCAGCCACGCGTGACCCTCGGGGCTCTGCTCTGCGCTCAGCAAGGCTTTCCAGGACCCAGCAGGTGTCTCCACCAAATGGCGCCGAACGGCAAGGAAGCCCCACATCATGGAGCCTGAGCACCAAGAGGGAGAAGGAGGCGGCAGACGAGGGCTAATTCAGCCAAGACCATGTGAGCAGAGGACAGGAGAGAGGCTGGGGCCACGGGCTGGGCCGCAGGGGCCGGAGCCCGTGGAGGGCGTCAGGCATCCAGCCGAGGACATTCCGGGCATAGCTCGTGGCAAACGCAAATGCCTGGCCGGCTGCAGACCACAGGGCTGGGTGAGGGGAGAAAGGCAGGGTCTGGAGGTGGAGGCCCAAGGGCCTGCAGACACTGATGCTTCCAGCCGGCCCATCTTGGAGCTGTGACCAGAAGAGAACGACGTGTCCAGCACAGGAACAGGGCAGCCAGTTAGGGAGAAGTGGCCATGTCCAGGTGGCTCCAGTGGTGGCGGTGGAGATGGGAAAGTGACCAGGCTGTGGGCATGGAAGCTGGAACCCACAGGAATCACTAATGGCATCTCAGACGTAAAAGACAAGGAAAGACAGGAGCGGTGGTACAGGGCTGTAATCCCAGCACTTGGGAGGCTGAGGCAGAAGGGTTGCTAGGCTTGGCTATCTAGAGAGATCATCTCAAAAACAAAAAGAGAGAGAGAAGAAGAAGAAGGCTAGGGATGTAGCTCAGTGGTGCTGCACCTGCCTACAAGTGCAAGGTACTGAGTTCAATCCCAGGTACCAAAAGAAAAAAGAAAAAGAAAGAAAAGAAATTTACACTGAAAAAGAAGAGGAGTCCTGAAGGGTGTCAAACTCTAACCAGTAAAGTGACAGAGTTCCCTGCTGGACAAAATGGCCCTAACCCCACATCCTAAATGGCTCTTCCCAGCAGATAATAAATCACTTCAGGGAAACAAAGCCACAAAGCTCTCCAACTTCTAGTCCTTCCCTCCGGGAAATTCAATCCTGCCAATGGATTTAAACCTCACCTCTGGCTGCTGCCAAACATCTACCTCCAATACACCCTCCTTACCACCCCTTGCACATATAAAACCTCACCCAGCCAGCCCCTGACGCTGCTCTTGCCATTGTCTGAGCCAGCCCAGTACCCTGTCCCCCTAATAAAAGCCTAGTTTCAGGTGTTCGTGTCTCCAGCTCAATTCCCATCCTCTCATAAAGAAAGCGCAAGGTGGTCACCAACACAGGTGCAACAGACAGAGACACCAAGGCACAGGCTCCACTCACTGAAGGAGACCAGAAAGCTAACCTCCTGGCACAGGGGCCAGAGCAGGAGTTACTGGAGGTTGAGGGGAGGGACAGAAAAAACTAAGAAAGGCTTTCAGGGCCTGGAAAAGGTGCTGAGTGGGTCCAGGGGAGGACGCGGGGACAGACACGACCCATGCACAACACACACATTCAGAAAGCACAGGCACCCATCGTGCTGTGTGTCCTGAGCACACACACAGACCTACCATCTGCTGGCACACACCCGGGGGGCACCACTGGAGGCAGCAGTGGGAGAGAATTTCTCCAGGCTCAGGCCCCAGTGTGTAAAGCACATCGTGCACAAGGACAGCGTCTGATCTGCACCCCACTGCTGCAGGGGGAACCAAGGGAAGCAGGAGCAGGGAATTGGGCCAACTTTCAACTCGCAGCAATCCTCCTGCCTCAGCCTCCCAAGTGCTGAGGTTACAGTCACATACCACCACACCCGGCCTCATCAGTTCCTTCTAAAACCAGGTGGCAATCTCACAGGTCAGTCCATTGGCACAGGCCCCACAAGGTCTTACAGAGTCATCAGTAAAGCACAAAAGAGAAGTGGTCCCTGAGCTTTCCCTGATGGAGGCAGTCTCACGTCCCCATGAGAGTCTCCACGTGGAGACAGCACATGCTGGGCAAAAGAGGCAGGGCGTGGAAGAGGAGGGGACTGGACAGGACAGCCAGGGAGGCCAGAGAGCAGAGGCAGACACAGAGGGTTGGGCGCTGTGGGAGGATGGTGACACTGACTCGTCTGGCTGTGTGGGGACTCCGCAGCCCGCACAGCCCGGGCCACATGGCCAGGCCCTCAGGAGGGAGAGGCCAGTGCCTGTGGAGGCCTGGGTCCGAGAGCGAGCAGGTTTGGGACCCAGGTGGCCACGCGTCAGGACTCTGGGAGCTGCAGCCTTCATCCCACCCACAGCCGAGGCTTGCGCTCCAGCTTCTGAATCCCAGTCTCAGAGCGCTTGACCCAGAGCCACCCACGAGGCGCCTTGAAGCTCTGCACTGATGCCCACAGCCATGCAAGCTTCTCCACAAGGAAACCAGGGTGCTCCATCATCGCTTTAGGGCCAAATGGCCAAGGCCCCAGCAGGTGATGCTGCCTTCTTCTCCGTGCCTGGCTCCTCACGGGTGCCCCAAGTCCTGCATGGGACTGGGCGACATGGAGCAGAGGATGGGTGTGGCCCCAGGCACCTCTACATCCTGTGATGCTTAGTGCTGGACTCAGCGGCACAGAGAGGAGCGATGTGCTGGGAAGGCACAGTGGAGAGGCCTGCAGCCATCCCCAGGGTCCAGTGCACCCTGGCCAGGAAGCCGTGCACCTGCAGGGACAGGTGGGTCCTCAGACATGGCCAGTGGGAGCCAGTGGGGCGGGAGCAGAGGGCCACATGAGGCAGAGGCACAAAGATCCTCAAGAAGCCACAGTCACGTGGACTGGGGACCCAAAGCACTTGCGGTGGCAGGGATGACAGTGCCACATGGGAAACGGCAGGTGCCGAGACTGGAGCTGATCACCACGGCACTGGGCACGACCTTCACCCGGAGGCTAGAGGTGCCCCTGAGGGACTCACAGGAAGGAAGAGCAGGACCTGAGCTCTGGCTTCAGATACTGCATCTCACACGTCTACCCTGAGGAGCTCGAGGGCACAGGCATGAGCTGCTGTGGGAGCCCAGGGGCCTCCGACACAGGGGATGAGCTTTCTGCAGGTTTGTCGTCCACAGATCCATCCCTGTCCCCAAGGCCTTTGCAGTCGGGAGAGAAGGCGCAGTGGGCGTTGAAGCACAGTGTGGAAGGGAGGGGGTTTCTGCAGGGGGTCCCTGGTTACGGTCCTCCGTCTAGCACCAAGCAGCAGGCAGGGGGACATGTGTGGGGACACGGCGCCCCCAAGGCCTACGTGGCAGATCTCCAGGCCAGGTGTCCCTACGCCAAGGGGGTCCCAAGTCTGTGCCAGGTGTCCATCCAGTCTGGAGGACCAGGTGCTGAAGTTCCTCAGGAGAAATAAACTGGAGCTTGAAAAACAAAGTCAGGAGCTCCAATCCCACACAGCTGGGCTTTCTGACTCTGGCAGGTGGTCCGTGCTCCCATCCCGATCTACAGGGGACACAGGTTGCTTTGTTTTCTTCCTCAGAAGCCATGAGCCACCTCCTCACTAGACTTTCTCCAGGGTAGAGAGATCTAGAACTTGTCTCTGCACCCCAGAACCAGTGCAGGCGGCAAATAATCTGGAAATGTTTGTGACTCGGGGAGATGGGTGACGAATGAAAGAATGAATGACAAAATATTCCTTCAGCTGAATGATACTTCCATCTCTTTAACAACCGATGGCATGACAGGCCGTGGATTTAGCTCAGTGGTTCTGCCGCCTGCCTTGCAAGCACAAGGTCCCAAGTTCAATCCCTGGTACCAAACAAACAAACAAACAAAACAACCAATGGCACGAAACCCTCCAAGGCTCTTAAAAAGTGTACAGAGGTCAGTCCCATCCCAGACTCTTCTTGGTCACAGTTTTTTTGGGGGGGCTACAAATTTTTAAAAACTTTAATAGATTTTAATCAGACATGAATTATTTTACAAAAAACAATCTTGCTTTTCCCAGAACGGATTTGCTTGCTTGCTTAAGCGTTTGACAATCAAACTGGGCGTGGTGGCACACATCTGGAAGTCCAGCATTCTGGAGGCTGAGGCAGGAGGATTGTCAAGAGTTAGAGGCCAGCCTGGGCTACATGGTGAGTTCAAGGCCAGCCTGAACTGCATAGCCAGACCCTGTCTCGAAAAACCAAAAAGAAAAATTTTGGACAACTCTTCCTTTGGTCTCAATTTATTGTTTTCAAATGAATCTCAGAATGAGGGCAAGTAACCGCAGAGAAAAGAACATTTTTGCCTTCAAAAGCAGCGATTCACCTTGGGGATGTGGTTCAGCGAGGCCACGCCTGCTTGGCAGGTTCAAGGCCTTGAGGCTGACTCCAGGTACCAGGAGAAAGAAATTCAATCAATCCGAAGCAAAGACCCAGTGGTCACGGCACATGCTGCATCAGCACTTCACTGTGCCCCTGACAGCACCTCCGCTCTGGAGACACTTCACACCAGAGGACACTGAGGCACAAAGGCTCATGCCCCGGGCCCTGAATCACACAGTAAGGCAGAGGCAGAGCGCGGGGACCCAGTGTACACTCTGACCCAGTAAACCCTCTCTCGCAGGTGCCAGACTGTGTGAAGGAACAGGAAACGAACTTGGTTCGCTGACACGACCCAATCAGACCAAATGCCTCTCTGCTGCAAATACAAAAAAACCCCCACCACCTTCCAACCTCTGCACCGGTCAAGAACAGAAGAGAGCCGGATGCTATCCGATGGGGTGGTCCCTCCTCCAGCTGCTCCTGCAGAGCACAGCCACCTGCGGGAAACCTGGGGCGGGCAAGGTATGAGCAGGACCCAGCCTGGGCGGAGCTTCTGAGGCCCAGACCAATGGAAGCCCGGGCAAAGAGCAAGCCCAGCTCCTGCCCAGGAGTTCAGAGCGGACTGGAGGGGAGGCTGGGCCGGCACAGGCGGTCACAGGCGGATGAGAAGGTCAGTGGGGAGAGGGGAGGCTGCGCCAGACCTGTAACTGTGTCCCCAGGGCAGGGCGGAGGAACCTGCACTGTCCTACAGAGCATCTCCAGGACGCATTTTTGGGGCAGCAAGCTGATTGGGGATGTTCAGCACAGAGGAGGGTGCAACAGGCTTGGGTCAGAGGAGCTTCCCTTGTACTATCTGAATTTTTACAAAAAAAAAAAAAAAAA